TAGTCAACTGCTGAGTCAACTGGGAACTGGGACATTCTCTGCTGGGACACTGATCCTGAAGCCAGCTAGCTTCCCACAGCAGAGAGGAAGGCCCCAACAGAATAAGAAGTGTGCTAAGCACTAGTATCCAATTGGCCAAAGCAAGTCACAAGATCAACCAAGATTCAGGGAGTGGGGACTTCACCTCTTCACAGGACAAGATAAAAAGTCATATTGAAAAAGGTTAAGGCACAGAGAGGAGTGAAGGATTGTAGTCATTTTTGCAATCCTGTGTAGAAAGTCACTCAAGGATGTTGCAGAGGAATAACGTAATTGAATAATCATGGTAAAATGATCACCCCCACAGTATGTTGAGGGCTATTGCTTTAACATCCCTTAAATTATATTACAGAAAACACACAAGTTATATACAATATACAGTCTTCACTTTCCATGGTTGTGATATGCACACAATTGAGTTACCATGGGGTTAAATAGCATCCCCTAACAACACAGTCCCAAACTCTGGTAGTAGGGTATAGTTACTGAATGATTTTATACGGTATCAACTCACTGCTTGTTCTTTAGTTCACCAATCACTATGTAAATAACAGATGCACATCATGATCAGTGACCAATCACATCACTGTTTTCACTTTTTAAAAAGATTTTATTTGTTTATTCATGAGAGACACAGAGAGAGAGAGGCAGAGACACAGGCAGAGGGAGAAGCAGGCTCCCGGCAGGGAGCCTAATGTGGGACTCCACGCCAGGACCCTGGGATCATGTCCTGAGCCAAAGGCAGACACTCAACCACTGAGCCACCCAGGTGCCCTCACATCACTGTTTTCAAAGTCTGTCAGGGATTGGTCACTACACATCTGTAATGTAGTCCACACTCAGCCAGCAGAGCATTTAGTTGAGACTTCTTGTCTCCCAGTGATAAACCCATGTGACATTTTACAAAAACAGATCATTGAAAGAGGGAATTGGCCAGGAAAGATGGAAGTACAGCAAAGAAACAAAAAGTGAAAAAAAAAAAGTGGTGATGTGAGATGTGAAATTCAAACTGAACGTAAATGGAGCTATAAAGAAATAGCTGACTGTGGGACTGGTGACATTACATATGCAGCCGGAGGAACTTAGCGGGGCAAACTTGTGGATGTAAACAAAGAAAGTAGTTTTGATAAAAAGGATAAAGATGTCCCAGGGGAAATGACAACAGCAAAACACTTTACATTAAGGCAACTGTCAGAGCTCTTTTACAACACTGAAAGCACAAAGGATAAAATATTGGAAGCCGATCCAAACTTAGGAAGGAATATGAGAATTAGCCAACATAGAGAAAAGAGGCTCGTTCCACATCATAAATTATATGATGAGAAGAAGGCTAGTGCTATTCAAACTACTTGTGATAAGTTTTTTACAAACAAACATTTTAATGCTCAATCTAACGTTTAAAATTACGGTGGACTAAATATGTATTAGTTTTACTATTCTTTTTTCCTTTCATTATACATTTATAACCAACAGTAAGGCAGTTTTTATGTTTTGACAAATGATCACAGAACAATTTTAATTCTTCCCACTGATTATTAAGATTGCTTGGCATGGTTTCGGTTTGCAGAGTCTATTTTTACAGTCCCATTGTGGTGTGCAAAGAGAGGACTGCCTATACAAGAAAGTTCCATATCAGTCAATGAGATTGTTATTTATAGTTACCAAGTTTGGAATTGCTTTGAGTGTAGTAACTCTGTAATTAATAAATAAAGAAAAAATTAGATGTTAGGAAAACAAATTGAGCTTTTCTTTAAAAAAAAAAAGATTTTATTTATTTATTTATTCATGAGAGACACGGAGAGAGAGGCAGAGACATAGGCAGAGGGAGAAGCAGGCTCCTTGTGGGGAGCCCAATGTGGGACTTGGTCCCAGGACCCTGGGATCATACCCTGACCCAAAGGCAGACTCTCAATCACTGAGCCACGCAGGCATCCCACAAATTAAGTTTTAATAGTAAAAATATTCTTGATTAAAAGTAATGCCATGAGAAAAAGAAGAAGAAAAAGAAAAAGAAATAATCCCACGAGGGCTCCTGGGTGGCTCAGTTGGCTAAGCAGCTAACTTGATTTCAGCTCAGGTCATGATCTCAAGGTCATGAGATGGAGCCCTGCATCTGGGCTCTATGCTCAGTGCTTGTCTCCCTTTCCCTCTCTCCCTCCCTCCACTCACATTCTCTCTCTGTCTCTCTCTGTATAAAAATAAAATAAATAAATCTAAAAAAAAAAAAAACTAATCCCATGGCTTAAAAAAAAAAAAAAAAAAAAAGATTCGGCTTCTTTCAGATCTAGTATACTACTCCCAGAAGGAAAACTGAGGATATGCTTTTCCCTAAATGTCACTTCAGAGACAATGGTAATGATGCATAATGAGCAACAAGAGATTTCTCAAGAATAAAGCTTTCTTCTTCAAAATAAAAATCTGTTATAGCCTCATCAAAAATTATAGCTTCTAATTCTTTGAAAGCTTCCAGTGATCTGGGGAATGGGGGTTCACTACCAATCTTGGAACCAGCATACTCTTTTTGTATTGGTCTCTCTGATCATCTGAACTATAGGAATAAATAAAAACATCTCAAAACCAATTCTTCCAGTACTTTCCTATGCCCTTATGTTCTGGTCCAAAAATGCCAGTTGTGAAAAAATAAAGAGTCAACAGCAAACTGTGTGCCAAACAAACCAAGCTCATGCACCAAAAAAAATTTTTAAAGGATAAATGGTTAAATCATAGGTCTCCTCCCTCCGCAATTAAATGTATAAAAATGAATACCCCTTTTGAGAAAAAGAAGAGGAAAAGAGGAAACCAAGAAAGTACAAACATGGGCCTTGTGTGTGTTACAGGTATTTCTTCCGAGAGTGTCTTCCTACCCAAGCAAATTAAATATGGATTTGTTTTTTTTTTAATTTTTTTTTATTTATTTATGATAGTCACAGAGAGAGAGAGAGAGAGAGAGGCAGAGACACAGGCAGAGGGAGAAGCAGGCTCCATGCACCGGGAGCCCGACGTGGGACTCGATCCCGGGTCTCCAGGATCGCGCCCTGGGCCAAAGGCAGGTGCCAAACCGCTGCGCCACCCAGGGATCCCTGGATTTGTTTTAAGATAATAAGAAAACTGCTATATTTGTTTATTGAACAAATACCTATATATATTTTACTGTGTGCCATACACTGTCCTAAGCACTTGATGACTAATCACCTAGGAAATCATATCAACAACCGTTTCGAGTATTCTTGTTAACCCACTTTATAGATGTAGGAACTGATCACAGTGAGGTTAAGTAACTTGCCCAATATCACATAACAAGTAAGCAGCAAAGCTGGAATTTGAACCCAGGCAGATTGGCCTCAGAGTCTGTGCTTTTTTTCACTGGACTATGACCTGTCAATGCTTTCCACCCAGAAGTTTAGTTTGCTGTGTTTTTATTTTACTTTCCAGATCACTCCCACTGACTTCTATTTGTTCTGCTGAAACTTGGAAAACATTATCCTCTTTACCCATGTATAAGAACTTGCATCTGATGCCTCATCTGTGATTTTCATTCAGTCTAATGGCCCATGAACTTTCAGTGAGATCACATTCTACACAAGGCAGAAATGTGCCTTTGTTTCTGGAAGAAAGAGAGGCCTATTTTTATGAAGTGACCGTCTTTGAAGAAATTGTTAAAATTGAGGTGCCTAGTTGGTGGAGTTGGTTGAGCTGTGTGGGCTCTTGGTTTTAGCTCGGGTCTGATGGCAGGGTTCTGGGATGGACCCCTCCCCGCATTGGGCTCCATGCTGAGTAGACTCTGCTTGAGACTCTTTCTCCCTCTGACTCTGCCTCTCCTTATTGTTCTCTCTCTCTCTCTCTTTCTCTGTGTGTATGTGTGTGTCTCTCTCTCTTTCTCTCTAATATTTTCTTTATTTTAGAGAGAGAGAGAGAGAGAAAGCACAAGTTGGGGGGGGGTGTTGCAGAACAGAGGGAGAGGTATAGGCAGACTCCTGCTGAACACAGAGCCCGACCCAGGGCTGGACCCCAGGACCCCAAGATCATCCAAGAGTCAAATGATCAACCAACTGAGCCATCCAGGCATCCAATCAAGAAAATCTTAAAAAAAAAAAAAAAGAAAGAAAGAAAGTTATGGTTACTCAGCTCTGACATTAATATATGCCAGGCAGTGTGCTAAGCATATTTATGCACAGTTTCTCCTGAGCATCACATAACATAAAAAAAGATTCAGCTGCTTTAAGATCTAGTAGTCTAGGAGGTAAGTACATTATAATGTCCTTTTGTAGATTAGAAAACTAAGGTTAAAGAGGTTAAGTAAGTCTCTAGGGCAACAGTGCCAGCTGGGAGGGGCACCCGAGAGTCCCTGATTCCATCTCCCAGGAACTTGGGGAGCTGCAGCAGCATTCTGCTGGGTAGTGAGAGGCAGGTCATGGGGACCCCCGTGTCCCCCTGTGGTTCAGGCAGGAGAAAAAGCCTGGAGGGAGTTCAGGGACCTGGGTTCAAGGTCTGACTCCGCTACTATCTTGTTTTGCTGTTGCTTGGCCTCAGCTTTCTATTTTAGGAAATGGACACCATCCTCTGTGCCCTTCCTCCCACAGGAAGTGATTATAAAGGCACCAAAGTTCTTCAGAAGTCACAGGCTGCAAGCAGAGCTGCTGGCCTTAATTCTTACCCACAGATGGCTGGGACCAACAGAGGGATTAGGGAGCTCCTGGGTTTAGAATGCAGCCCAGAAGGGCAGATGTGTAATCACTCTGGAGGTAAGGAGGGCCCTGCTCTTCTACCTCCTGGAAGGATTCAAGGACTCTCAGCCCTAAGCCCTGACTACAGAAGCTACATTTGGAAGTGAGGAGTTCTTGGACCTGGGTTCCTACAGCTGCTCACCTTGGCCGATCTTTGGGTGCCAGTGTTTTTGAGCTATAAGGTAAGAGTTTAGAGCTTGAACCCTAAGTATGGTTCTCAGGATTCCTAAAGCCTTCACCATACATCTGAAAGGAGGATCAGCAAATTGACTTTCTGTTCCTTCACCTATTCCCGTTCTAAATGATACAAGTAACATTGTGAGAGTTTGAATAGATCCTCTTCCTAAAACCAAGGGCTGAGTAGGAACTACCCATTTCCTATCTCAGGACGTGGTCTGTTTTAGCCCTGACCTAGGAGAATCTTTCTGCTAAGGGATTGAAGAGAGTATTAGGCTGGAGAGTAGACTCCTTAGACTTGGTGGACAAACTATGACCTACAGGCCAAATCTGGCCCACCTGAATGTTTTTTACATTTTTTAATGATTGAGAAAAAATGAAAAGGATAATATTTTGTGACGTGTGAAAATGATGTGAAACTGAAATGTCAGTATCCATAAATGAGGTTTTTTGGGGAACACACGCACACAAAGAAGTTAAGTAGCTTGTTCAAAGTGACACAACCAGTAGCTATGGAGGCTAGACTCAAGGCTAAATTTATCCAACTCTGAAGATCATTGTTTGTCTACAACCCTATGTCATTCTGTGTCATTTTCCAAAATGAGTAATTTCCTTACAAGAGTATTCAAAGGAAGAGCTTCGAGACAGCAGAAGCCAGATCCTGCTTTACAAATAAAATTCTTCTTCTGAAAAATGGTAAGCCACACAGATACTCAATGACTAACCTTTTATAATCAACAAGTCAGTGCTAAATAAATACTAACAAAATTTAAACGGAAGTTTTAAAACCAAACTATAATGAAGCATCCCTTCTAAGACATAATTGCCTTTACTATTTCTTACCTCCTCCAGAACATTTCTCAGAAAAAGATATATTTTACAAACCCCTGAGCCTTCAACACACTCAACAGTGCTGACTTTTCCCAAATAATTTTTTTAGAATCTAGACAGTCTTCACAGTGTTCAACAGCCACCCTGGTCAGTTCAATACTATGCTGTTCTCATTGTCTCTGTTTTTCTTTATTTCCCATTATCAGTGAATGAAGAGAACACTTCAAAAAATATGCCATGTACCCTTTCAAGCATCCTTGAAAAAGAAATAAAAAGAGAAAGCAAAAGGAAGCAATATATATTAAATGGATTTTAGACACAGTGCCAGATGTTTTTGCAAGGTAGAATAATTTATAATTTGGAGAACATTCTGCATACTTATTTAAAACTTGGCTATTTGTAAATAGCTTAAATGACTCTCCATATTTATGTCTTTCTTTTTCTAAGTTATTTTACTTATTATTATTTTTCTCAGGATCCCAATGTTCCCAAGCAATTATCATGGTCTCGTGGTTGGTGGGGGGTAGGAGGAAAGAGGGGAGGCAGAGATGGGGGAGACGATGACAAGGGTTGCCATTTCATTTTATTCCCTCTTCAGTTAGAAATGAACTCCCTTCCCCTCAGAAGCAGTAGTAACTTTTGAAAAGTAAAAGCTCCATTCATTTTGGAAGAATTTGTTTGGCTATGATCTTTTAACACGAACTTTACCTGTCCATCAGGAATTTATCAAAATACACTTAAGAAAATATTTTTAAAAACCCACCCTGATTTAAAATGGGATGTTTTATTATATTGCAAATTAATCATAAGGCATCTATTTACTAATTCATCAATCCTTAATTCTCAAATTTTCCTCAGAAATAACTCCTTTGCGTTTCTCCCCACCCCCACCATGGCCCCATTTTTTAAAAAATTTTGAATATTCAACAAAATACATTTTTAAGTAATAAAGGATTTCTTCCATTTTTAGGTGTTGGACATGTTACCCGAAACTAAATTCACCTCTTGCAGTGGAGCCAAAATTCAAAGCAAACTGAAGAATAGCAAAGGGAAGGGTATATTTGCACCAAGTAAAGGAGAACACTGGGGATATTTCCCAAAACAGTGTCTCCTTGATCAATAAAACTGGGTAAATTTTTTTTTAAAGATTTTAGTCACTTATTCATGAGAGACACAGAGGGGCAGATACACAGGCAGAGAGAGAAGCAGGGTCCTCGCAGGGAGCCCGATGTGTGGGACTTGATCCTAGACCCCCGGGATCATGACCTGAGCCAAAGGCAGACACTCAACCACTGAGCCACCCAGGCGTCCCCAAAACTACAGAAGTGTTAAGCTAAGGGTGCATACATATTCATGAAGGGGCTTGCGCAAGGGGGAATTCAGCATGGAATTGGGGTATCATCAACTCTCTGGCTCTAGCTGGTCCGGTATCTGAGTGCTCAAAGGGAGTTCAGTCCTGCAAAGTTAATGCAAAAATATATGTCAGCTCAATCTTTACTTTTGAACCAGCACTGAAAGCGTTTCTTTCTTCTTTCTTTCTTTCTTTCTTTCTTTCTTTCTTTCTTTCTTTCTTCCTTTCTTCCTTTCTTTTTCTTTCTTTCTTTCTTTCTTTCTTTCTTTCTTTCTTTCTTTCTTCTTTCTTTCTTTCTTTTAAGATTTTATTTATTTATTTGAGAGAAAGAGTGTGTGTGTGCAGCATGGGTAGGTAGGGGAGACAGAGGGAGAATCAGACTCCCCAATGAGTAAGTAGCCCGACATGGGCCTCCATCCCAGGACCTCAGGATCATGAGCTGAGCCAAAGGCAGATGCTTGACCAACTGAACCACCCGGGCACCCAAAACCAACACTGAGTTTTACCACTGATCTATAGTCCCTGGTGAGATTAGGTTATCTCCTGGATTGATAGTAGCTGTTGGTTCTTACATTTTTTAATTCTTTTCAAATCATCAACTACTGAGGTCTGTTCTTCTGCAATTTCAACATATCCCAGGAAGATCTGCAAAAAATGTGCTTTGGGGAAGCAGTACCAGTTGAGCATAGATCACAAGACAGCGAGGGGCCGAAAATGACTTTTCTTATGTCAGAAAGCTATGTGTCATCTTTCTTTTTTCTGGGAATGCCTGACTCTTTTTGCCTACAGACAGAGGGATGTAAGTGTTAACCATGTGTTTTCCCCTCAAAGTCATGGGTCAAGGCTGCACAGAGTGTAAAGAAAGAAATAAGATTTATATAGAATTTTTAAATGAAGCATTAGGCTGAATTGAATTAGTGTTATTAACTAAAATGAGTATTGTAGGTAGTAGATGAGTTAAGGAAGCATCTCTGCCCTCAAACAATGGTGAGAAGATGAATAGTTAATTCAAGGACAACAGGAAAATCTTCCTAATATTCATTTACATAAATCCACAAAGGTATCCCTTTCTGGTGCATTTCTTTCAGTCTTCACTGGCCCAAGATGTTTAAATCAAGTGTTTCTACTTGCATTACCTAAAGCTCAAAGGAAAGGTTGAAGAATTTTTCTACATATCCCTAAAAAGTGCTTACTACGTGGCATCATTTTTCTAGGAGCTCATTCCTACAGTGAAATAACTATATACATAAAATGAAAGTAGCTGCCCCCTTTCAAACCAGTACCAAAGAACAAAATGCACTCTGCCCTCCTTAACTCCAGCCACGTTCTGTCTTCATGCATCACTCCCTAAAGCTCTAGCAGTACAGGGAGTTACAACTAATGCTAGATTGAAGTGTTTAATGGGTGGAAGAATTAAACGAAAACAAAAACAAAAGAACCATCACAAACTGCAAATTAAGGGATCAGCAAAACCCCTGCTGGTTTAAAAATCCCATTCGACCTTGCCAATACACTAATTAATATAATAAAACACACAAAGATCTTGCTTAAAATTAAGCGAGCAGGCTGCCCACGGCTTGCTGCCCACTCTCTGAGCAAGCATCTGCTTAGAATGTCACCAATTGTCTCCTTGGGAGGTTAAAGGAAGGGAGGGGGAAAATTGCTTTGGCAGAGTCTACCAGCTAACTGTGCCCCTTTTGAAAACAGAATTCTTACCCTGTTTTTAATGCCAAGCACATACGATGTCAAGTAAATTGGTCTCCATACAAAACATGACAGATCGGCAACAAATGCATGAAAGCACTACTATCTACACTAACAAAAATGATAGAAAAAATACGTACACAATGCATCTCCAGTGTTAACTGGTATTTGGAAATTTTCTTCTTTCCAACTTTTAGCACTCTCTTGTGCCTAGAACAGAGGTTAGTAAGATAAATATGTGTTTAATAACTCTAGTAAAAAAACATAAATCTGCTGATGTTCCACAGACATAGTCAATGTTAGTGATTCAATATTAGTTCTTGATGTCCAAACCCAGAGGCCAAATATCTTGCTTTGCTTTGTTCAATCAATAATCATTTATTATGTCCATCACTGTTCTAGGCACAATAAACAATTTTTTTTAAATTAAAGATTCCTTAAGCAGTTTACATTCTGGTCTGCAAGAAACAACACACTGGTAGGAATAGTTCAATAACAGTACAGAGAAACAAGAACTGAGTGACTCGTTAACAAGAGTAAACTGCTGTATTTGTGTTACTCTTTTTTATGCCATTTTTAAGATATCTTCTATGTGCTAGCACTGCAGTAGGCTGTAGACCTCTGTGATTTCATTTAGCTCTCAGTGCTGTGACTCAGTAGGTTTTAAAATCCTTAGCTTTATAGGAAAAAAAACAGATACTCAGAGAGGTCACTCAAGGTGATGCAGATGGTAAAAGATGGAGTTTAGGATTCCAGATGTCTCACTTCAACGATTATATTCTTTCCAAGACGCCATGCTGTCTCCTGTTTTTAAAACTTATAGAGTGGGGCAGCCTGGGTAGCCCAGTGGTTTAGTGCTGCCTTCAGCCTGGGGTGTGATCCTGGAGACCCTGCCTTGAGTCCCGCGTTGGGCTCCCTGCATGGAGCCTGCTTCTCCCTCTGCCTGTATCTCTGCCTCTCTCTCTCTCTGTCTGTCATGAATAAATAAATAAAATCTTTTTAAAAAATAAAAAATAAAAATAAAATAAAATTTATAGAATATGTTTGTGCCCCTTCTCATAGCTACAGAGATATTTAGGAATAGTATAATAAATTGCCAAATACTCATCATCCATCATCAATAATTATTTCCTTGTAGCCAACCTCATTTTATTTATACCTGCACACTCCTCCCTCTACTCATTAGATTATTTTCAAGCAAATCCCACATAACATGTTACTTTGCCTGGATTTCAATATGTATCTCTAAAGACAAGAGCTATTGTAAAAACAAAAAACAAAAAACCCATAATCACAATACCATTATTACACCTAAAAAATTAACAATAATTCTTAATCCACATATCCAATCCATGTTCAAGCTACTCCTTTTGCTTCATAATTTTTTCCTTTTAAATATTTTATTTATTTACTCATGAGATACACAGAGAGAGAGGCAGAGACATAGGCAAAGAGAGAAGCAGGCTCCCTGCAGGGAACTGATGCAGGACTTGATCCCAGGACCCCGGGATCACAACCTGAGCCAAAGGCAGAAGCTCAATTACTGAGCCACTTAGGTGCCCTGGCCTCATAATTTTTTTATAGTTGTGCTGTTCAATTCAGAATCCATATAGAATTCACACTTCACATGTTGTTCATAGGTCTCTCAAGTTTCTTAAAACTTGTAGTTCTCCCTTCAACGTTTTCTTGGTTTCTTGGAAGAAACCAAAGGTGGGAGACAGGCTCAGATATGCAAGCATACAAAGGTCATGTGAGAACTTCAGGTTTAAGTGTAATGGAAGGCACTCGATTTGTTCTAGTCTCAGTCTCCTAGCTACCACATAGACAATGGATTACAGTGGGCAAGAATGGAAACAGGCAGAGTCATTGCCATCTCCAGCATTAAGACGCTGCCCTTAATCTTGTGTCCCTCAGCTATGACTTCACATGAAGATTTTCCTGTTTACAAGGTTATCAGTGACTACACTGGATGTAGACAGCTCTATTTGGGATAAGAGACAACTTTCCTTTTGGGATTCTCGATAATGAACATAAGTCAACATACAGCAGATGATTAATCTTGGCATGGCAGAGAACAAGCCCTCACTTGATCTGCAGTGCTCTCTTCTGTGCAGAGACAAAGTGGACGTTGGCCAGCCTCACCAGTAAGAACTGAACCCCACTGTTAACAGCGGCTTGTAGCGCAAGCCTCACTGAGTCTGCTTGAGTTGGCAGCATTAAAAGAAACTCAGCCCTTGTTAATTATCAGGACTAAACACTCCATCCCGTTTTTTTCCCCAGCTTCCACTTGGAAATAAAGTGAATATTTCTAATTCTCAAAGATTGAATAAAACACACCTTTCAAAGAGAATTAATATGGAAGCTTCTGGTTTTGCATGCAGCCAATAATATCTGAAATGTAAGTGCCAGGAAAGGGCCTCTCCTAAACATGGATAATTAATAATAAAGTGTTTTACTCTTATATTTAAAAAGATTAAATTTCCCAGTATCTTATATTTAAAAGATTAAATTTCCCAGTATCCTCTAGAAAGCACAGTAACTTTTGTCACCCTGAATTATTTTTTATAAAGTTATTTCCTGTTTACCAGTTCCTTTGGAACTTTGTGGCATAGTCACATTGACAAGCCAAATAAATGTATTGGCTTGAATGGACTTTCATACTTGGGTTTGAATCCCAGCTCTGTCTCTTAGTTGTGTAACCTTAGGCAAGATGCTTAACCTCTCTGAGTTCAGGTTTTCTCTTCTAAAAAGTGGAGTTGGGGGTGGGGATCCCTGGGTGGCTCAGCGGTTTCGTGCCTGCCTTTGGCCCAGGGCGCGATCCTGGAGTCCCGGGATCCAGTCCTGTGTCAGGCTCCTGGCATGGAGCCTGTTTCTCCCTCTGCCTGTGTCTCTGCCTCTCTCTCTCTCTCTATGTCGATCATAAATAAATAAATAAATAAATAAATAAATAAATAAAAATAAATCTTTAAAAAATAATAAAAAATAAAAATAAAAAGTGGAGTTAGTAAAAGGAATATGTCATAGGCTTGTAATGAGGACAAAATGACTTTATAATGGATTTTGAACAACAACAATGGTCGGTGCTATCAAGTATTAGGTATTGTTATTAGCAGCCTCCAAAGTTTTAAAATGTTGTTA